GAAAACTTTACAACAGTTCTTTTACTTCTAGAAGGCCAACGACATGATAATTTTTAGAATTATTTGAAAGGGATCTGTTAGCATTGACAGAAGGGAACAGGTCTCTCGTAATTTTTAAGTGGGTAATTGGATGAATCGTTCTACGCTATGAACATCTTTTGTACTAAAGTTTACGCGCGAAACAAACTTCGAACAATTATGAGCATGGGAGATTGAATTTTTTCATCGTCTGCTTACTGAAAAGTTTCAAGTAAGTCTATATAATTTGTAATATATATTCATAGAAGATGTCGTTTTTGAAACAAGTGGGTAGATTGATACGCCCAAATGAATATAGTTCTACTATTTTTCAAACTTCGTTTTTAAATAATATAACCCAGCTTCGTACAGCAACAAAGAGAGCTGCAGGTTCGAAGACCAATAAGAATGATTCTGCTGGTAGAAGATTAGGTCCTAAAGCATATGAGGGTCATTTTGTTAAGCCTGGCCAAATTATTATGAGGCAAAGAGGTACCAAAATACATCCTGGTGAAAATGTTGATATTGGTAAAGATCATACTATTTTTGCTATAGAACCTGGTTACGTGCGCTTCTATTACGATCCATTCCATCCATTAAGAAAATATGTTGGTGTTGCGTTAAGAAAGGACTTAAACTTACCAACTCCCCACTTTTCTCCTAGAGTTAGAAGATTTGGCTATGAAAAGATAACGGATCCAGCAGAAGCCGAAAAGGAAGAAAATCATATGTCAAGAAAAGAATATTTACAACAACCTGAATTAGAAAAAATCAGACAAGAAAAGCAACAAGACGAGAATCAGAAAGCTTCTATTTTCGAGAACACCTTGTCGACTCAATTTACTTTGAATTTGAACGAAGCTGATTTCCAACTTGCAGTTAATAGATTGTTGAATATCTCGCAATTAACGAACATAGGCCAGACTTTGGAAGAAGCAGAAGCCCAATCGACTTACAATTATATTTTTGATTTGAAGTTATCTTGCAAAAAAGGTGAAATTACTTTAGAAGAATATTCAAATTTGAAAATGCATTACATACAGTTTGCTCAAACCCTAGATAGAAAAGTAACCATAGATGCCCAAGGTAACCCATGTGCATTTGTTGCTCCAAAAGATAAGAAAGAAAAGCAAGACGAGATATTAGGCAGACTTGAAAAAGAGTTTTCCAATAGGGTAATCAGTGAAAAGGATAAAGAAACTATTTCTGATTTAATTATGACTCCAGGTATCTACAATAAGTCTCAACAAGCCCATTTGAAAGACAGATTCTTGCCAAGTGTGTTGCCACTCACGGTGAAACAGACTGTTGTGGAAAATATAGATCCAAAGAAACCGCCAAAAGGAGTGACAGTAACTAGAATCTTTGATGAAGACACCAAACAGATTAAGGTGATAGGTAGGACTAAAGAAGCTTTCATTGGTTAAGAAATTTAGATAAATGACTTGCTTGAATTTCATTAGATCAGCTAATTTTATTACTTGTATATAATTTCAATAAATATTTGATTGATAATGTTTATCTTTGTAAGATTCTTCATATTGTACACGTAATGATTTCTGTTCAAAAAAAAAAACATCCACAAAATTGCGCGGTGTCAAATCGATATTTTTTCGAAGGAAGATGATAATTATCACAACAACTATTCCGCTTGATTATATTAAAGATTAACATGGCAATTGATTTTTCTTCAAAGCAAATTCAGGATAACCCAATTTACCAAGAATATGTTAAACTTGGGGTAACATACCAGAAGTATGTGGATCAATCTGTTCCGTACACATTCAATAGATGGGTTGGGTTTGGTGTTGTGTTTGCATTATTTTTACTTCGTATTGTGTATGTGCAAGGATGGTACATTATATGCTATGCTTTGGGTATCTATTTATTGAACTTATTCTTAGCGTTTTTGACACCTAAGTTCGATCCTTCTTTGGAGCAGGAAATGAAAAATGAATCAATTGAAGAAGGTTTACCAGAAGATGAGCAGGTACCAGAAGATGAGGAATTCAAGCCATTTATAAGAAGATTGCCCGAATTTAAGTTTTGGTATAATGCTATAAGGGCTACGACTTTGTCATTGTTCTTGTCATTTTGGACTATTTTTGATATTCCAGTTTTCTGGCCAATATTATTAATGTACTTCCTTATTTTATTTGCGTTAACTATGAGAAAACAGATCCAGCATATGATCAAGTATAAATATTTGCCATTCGACTTTGGAAAGACTAAATATAGATCAAGATCCTAAATTTGTTCCCAGGATACGATTATTTTAACTATTTAAGCTGAGTTCTTTTCCTTTATGTTACCTTTCAGTTAATCCCTTATTAGTCAACTTGCTTTTGTAGCACCAAGATATATTGATCCCATATAATTCTCTCTAGCTTTAGGGCAATAAGATTTAATGAAAAACTAATGTTATCACGTGCGCCTGATTGTATCACCAAAATCATTCTCTTGAAGTTCCGCCCAGCCCCTAAAATCAAAGAACAAAATCAATTGTTATAGTAAGAATTCACAATTTGAAAAGTCATCTATTAGAATGAGTCGTGCTGAAGTTGACTTACAAGTAAGTGTCAAGAAGGCATGTAGTACAGATGAAGTTCCTCCCAAGAGAAAGCATGTCAGGGCTTGCATTGTATACACCTGGGATCATAAGAACTCTCGTGCATTTTGGAATGCTGTAAAGATTCAACCCTTGCAAAGTGATGAGGTTCAATTATTCAAAGCTTTGATTATGATACATAAAGTCCTACAAGAAGGACATCCTAATACATTAAAGGATGCATACCGCAATAGAGACTTTTTATCTTCATTAGGTACTGTTTTTCCTAATGATGGTCTTTCATATGGAAGATTGATCAATCAATATGATAGGTTTATCTTGGAGAAATTAGACTTCCATAGAAACAATCCTGGTTTCAATGGGATTTTTGAATACGAAGAGTATATTTCATTGAGAGCAGTCAACGATCCGAATGAAGGTTACGAATCAATTTTACAATTGATGGATTTACAGGATCTGATTAAGGATTTACAACTATTGATATTTCTGACAATTCATAAAACTCCAAAGAATTTGTGTAAAGTGAGTGCTTTGGTTCCTTTGATTGCAGAGTCATACGGTATTTACAAGTTTTGTACATCAATGTTGAGAGCTATGTATCAACAGCTAGGAGCAGACGAAGCGTTAGCTGTTCTCTTCGAAAGATTTGATTCACAACACTTTATGCTTAGGGATTTTTATACCGATTGCCATGCCATTAAGTTTTTAACTAGTTTGGTCACAATCCCGCGATTATCAAATAATCCACCTAACTTGCAAGTAACTGATGATGGTAAGCCAGTCACTCCATCAAGACCGAGATCTGAAACAGTTGAAAGTACGCCTCAATTATCTTCTCAGCCTACTTCATCTTATGAACCTCCTGCAGAAGCTCCACCACCAGTTGATCTGATTTTTCTCCAGCAGACTGGTATGTTTGACCAGCAACAGCAGGAGCAACAACAGGTTCAAAGAGACTTAGAATTAAAGCGTCAACAACAAATGCAAGACCAAATGCAGCAGCAACGTATTTTTGAAGAGCAACAACGTCAGCAGGAAAGGCGCTTTTTAGAAGAACAACAGCTTTTACAACAACAACAGACACAGCAACATCAATCTCGTGTTACTGAGTTAGAACATGATTTATTAATGTTTAAGAATCAATATGATAATGATCAACAATTATTACAGCAATACGACACTCGTGTTAAGAATTTAGAAACCGAGTTAATGAACTTAAATACTACTGCTACTCAACAAGTTTCATCAAAAGATGAGCAAATTGCTAACTTAGAGCAACAAATTAATAATTGGACCAAAAAGTATGAATCATTGGCTAAATTGTATTCACAATTACGTCAAGAACATTTAAACTTATTAGCAAAGTTTAAAAAGATTCAACAAAAGATAAATAGCGCTCAAGAGTCTATTATGAAAAAGGAAAAGTTTGAGAAGGATTTAAAAGCGAAGAATATTGAATTAGCCGACTTGATTCGTGAGAGGGATAGGGCAAGACTCGATTTGGACAGGGTTAAAGCAACAAAGGATCAGGAAATTGAAAAGCTTCAAGCGGAATTAAGAGAGTTAAATAATCAGGTAAATGAATCAGGTAAGTTGCAGTCCTTGAATTTGTCTTCAATCATTTCTAAACATCAAGATGAGATGAACCAATTAAAGGATCAATTATCAACTAGAGATAGGGAGTTGACCAATTTAGGTAGCAATAGCTTACAAGACAAATTGAAAGAAAAGGAAATTGATTTGGAAATTGCTCAAGAATCTTTAGATAGTGCATTGAGAGAACTTGCAATATCAAAGAACGACCAAGAAGACATTATCAATGCTCAAATAGACCATATTATCATTAGCAATATTAGTAAACTTAGAAAATTGGTTGACATATTCTTGGCAAACAATATAAAACGAATTCAAGATACGAAATATGAACTTGCTTCTCCTATACAAGCAGGTAACCTTAATTCGCTGCCCGAACATTTATTGTCTATTGTGGAAATAAGTTCCGATATGGCTACAGACTTTGCAACTACTTTCAATACGTTTATCGTTGATGAGAAGCATAGTTACAATGATGATAATTCAAGCTATTCAGGCATCATTTTAAAAAGCTCTGAATTAACTACAGCGGTTAATGATTTAATGCTAAATGCCAAGGGTATCTCAAGAAGTCTTTCTAAAGAAGACGAAGATAAAATTTTGAGATATGTTTCAAATGTATTAATTAGTACTGAAGCATTTTTCTATAATTTGAGTTCCGATGTCTTAAGTAAGGTTGAAGATGAAGATGGTAAAATAGACAAAGTAATCGATTGTAATCTACAGGTACAAAACGATTTACAATTATTAGGTAATTATCTTGATACCTTAAGATCCACCCATGGAATCAACTTCTCTCTGGGTAACTTGGAAGATTTAGTCAAAAATGAAATGGAACAGACTGCCAATACCGTTGATCTTGCGTCGAAATTTTTGAAGGATCTCTTACAAAACCCAAATATAAAAAATGGTAATTTCGAAATCCACGAAACCCTATTATCTGCTGCAATGGCAGTAACAAATGCAGTAGCGTTATTAATCCAAGCAGCTACTGAATCACAAAGAGAAATTGTCAGTAAGGGTAAGGGTTCCCAATCGCGTACGGAATTCTACAAGAAGAATAATAGATGGACTGAAGGTTTAATAAGTGCATCTAAGGCAATTGCAGGAGCTACAAATGTGCTAATTCAAACTGCAGATGGCGTTTTAAAAGAAAAGAATTCCCACGAACAATTGATTGTAGCTTCAAATGAAGTTGCAGCCTCAACAGCCCAATTAGTTGCTGCATCTCGGGTTAAAGCAAACTTTGTATCGCACACCCAAGATAATTTGGAAGTGGCATCGGGTAAAGTATCGAATGCTTGTAAACTTTTGGTTGCAAAGGTTCAGCAACTTTTATCTGATGATGAAAGTACTAAAAATGATATTGATTTAAGTAAATTAACACCGTATGAAGGCAAGACTATTGAAATGGAGCAACAAGTTGAGATATTGAAGTTAGAAAACATGTTGAACTCTGCAAGAAAGAGATTAGGAGAAATTAGAAAACATGGCTATAAAGATGATAATAGTGATGATGAAAACTAATTTTGAAGCTTATATATATATATGTCATTATTTAAATTTTTTGAATACACGTAAAATCAATGAAAGTAAATACAAAAGAAGTAGTACTTCTAGTTAAACAACTTCTGAAGTCAGATTTCTAATACACTGTTTACAATAATAACATCTAATTGAAGTATGTATACATAGTCTATTTAGGTTCTATATAATTTGGGTTTGTACAAAGTTCAAGGATCGCTTTGTATAAGATTATCTTGGTGTTGAAATATTTGGTTGAATATTTAGTGAGAATTTAAAATTGAGAAAATGCAAACTGGTTGCAAAATGTGAATTAAATACTCGATTGAGTGAAGAAATCAATACTACTTATGGTTCTTTATCCAGGTAGTGAGATGAGTG